GCGATAGAAATATGATTGTTACATCGGAGAGGAGGGAAATATTTTGGGAAGAGAAAGCAAAGAATGGAATATTTAAAGAGAAAAGCGATTGTTGATCGGCAAACATGGATAGGTAGCGGCACGTAGAGTATATTATAGATGTGTGTGTGTGTGTGTAAGCGCGTAGATATAAAACGAGAGTCGGTTTCCCACAGGGTTCGACATCTGCCCCGACCGTGGGCAACCCAGTGCCTCCTTCACGAAGGGTGCCACGCAGGACACCCCACTACTACCTAACTCGCCACCAATCGTGGGAACACCACTTCGGAAGAGTCGTTGACTTCCTGTGCTTCCCACAGGATCTCCGCTCGGATTCGGCTCCAGCACCTGCTTCTCTCCAAGGATATCTCGTTCACCTCTTCCCTTTCGAATCCTGATACTTATCTTCCCTTATCTTACTAACGCGAGATATATCTTTGCGAATAATAATTTTTTTTTTCTATTTTTGTAATATTTCGTATTTTTTTTTTTTTTTTTTGAATTTGCGTTTAGATGAAAATTATTATCGTTTAATCAACAAACGTAAAGAATCGTAAATATTTTTAAAGGTTTTATCGCGCGACAGATGGTTTTTCGGTTTCTCGAGTCACACGATTATTAAGCGATCAATGTGTCATGTCTACAGGTCAACAGGTGTCTGTCGGTATATATAGGAAAATAAGGTGCGTTTCTCGGATACATCGTTTCGATATAATTTGACGAAGATTTTTTTTTTCCGAACACTCACCTTTGTTTCGAAGCGTTCGTAAATGTTCGACGGTGAGCTGCAAAATCTCCGCCTTCTCCAATTTCCCGCTATGAGGATCTCTAGCCGCTGCCGGCACTAATCTACGAAGTTCACCGAGAGACGCGTTTATTCTGTCACGACGTTTCTTTTCGATCATTCCTCTTCTTCGCTTTCGCGACGCGTGCTGACAAGAATCGCCTCCCGGTGAATTGCAACTACGGAATAATGAAAAATAAATGGATAATAATATAGGTAAACCAACGTATATAGGCAAGAATATATTCAATTATACAGCACATGATGAATTTATTTATTTCAATCAAGGATTGCTTTTTTCCCTTACGAAAAAACAATGAAACCTTAATTGTTCGACCGGCGGTTGAACATATGTCGGGTATTAAAATGTGAAAATGAACACGTTTACTTACGGCTCTTTGCCGCTCTCCTCGGAGAACACGTCGTCGCAATCGGAATCGCTCATAGTTCTTTTCAGACTTCTCTGTTGATGAGGTTGACCCTGTTGCGACGCTTGTTGCTGTTGCTGTTGTTGTTGCTGCTGCTGTTGCCCGCTCTCCTGATTCCTAATATCCGCGACGTCGATCTTGAGGTCCGGAAACTCGTGACTAGATCTAATTTCCGTGGCCATGTCCGGCCTCATCCCCGTCAAATCCTGATGATGCCTCGCCATTTCTGGCCTGTGCAACTCCGATGCTTGGTGCCGCTGCATCTCCGCCGCTGACTGGTGCCTCAGATCAGGCCTGTGCATCTCGTGTCTGATCTCTTGAGGTCTGAGCTCGGCGGTAGCCGTGGCCGGATGCCTAAGGTCATGAGGCGGACGGGGATCGTGATGATGCCGCGATACGTCGGTATGTTGCGGCTGATAAGATGGATGGGGTGGCGGTGGATAGCCCCAGTGATGATGGTGATGGCCGGAAGGTGGACCAGAGAGGCTAGGAATGTGATTTGGACCCACCGGGCCGGAGCCGATCTCCGATGACAGCAACGTGCTATTCTCGTCCGATCGTGCGACCACTACTCTCCACATTTTTCCTCTTTTCTTTTTTTTCTACAATAATAATTCTTTTTCAAACGATATATCTTCCAATTAACGATTGTCGACACTTTCACAAAAAATATTATTAGATCTTGGTAAAAAAAAAAAAAAGAAAACGCAGATCAAACGGAGATTTGAATATTTCGATCCATAATCAACGGATATATTATTGAAGAAACTCGTAAGAGCAAAGAAGAAACTTTAGATAGGTGTAAAACTGGAGAATAGAATCACTGTGAAAAGAAGTAACTATTA